CAATCCTCATCTGTCAGTGAACCTCAGTTTAGGATATTTTAGTCACCAAAAAAAAGAACAAAAGAAATCCAAAACACTTAACAGTATGATAAATGGACACAATGTTTTGAAAACAGTTTGTCTGCATTAATAACAATACTACTTCCTAAAATTTACTGATTTAAATAAACGCCAAAAACCAGGTTGTAATAAATACAAATTATCCTTTAAACATTTGCTAATTGGTGTGTTTCTGTAAAAAGAAAAATATGATGCGGTCTATATTTATGGTTCCTCAGGAATAAATAGAACTAAGTTGTTGGACAGTGAAAGCCAGCAGTCCTTAACAGAGTGCCAGTTTTTGGTTATTTATTTTAAAAAGTATGAAGCTTAAATGGTGGTTTTAGGCATTGGACAAAAATCTTAATGTAAAAATGACAGCACTCAAACTTTGTCATGTGGGCAATGAGAAAAAACCCCCAAGGGTCAATAATAATCTGTTGTTTTTACTAAAGACTGTAACTTTAATATATTGGTTCACAGGGCATACTGAAACGTATATCCTGCACGTGATGGTTTGGGTCAAATTTGAAGACATGATAGTCCTCAGGGGCGGACTGGCACAAGAATTCAGGCCGGGAATTTGACTCGTCCCAGGCCACCTTGTTCACACAAACCACCAAACCGCTAATTTTTGTGGACTAACCTTTTTATATACAGTCTATGGCAGGGGTTTTCAAAGTCTGAGACTGTGGGCCTCTCCTCATACAAAGCTTGGGAAATTACTTGGTAAATTTCACCCAATTTCTGGATGTCTATGAGATCATGATTATATTATCTTATTCCACAGGCACTCAACATTTGAGCCAAAATAGCCTAATAATGCTGTTTGACCTTACTTCTGACTGCACCAAATAGTTTTAAAAAAGCTCTGTCCTAAGGCATTTATTAGTTTCTGACTCTGATGGGGGGGAAACTGTTCCCCAAAACTACTGTATCTCTGAACTCTCACATATGTAGGCTATTCTGTGTGATCTCCTTTTGATAAGTAATGCAATACGTAATGTAATATTGTTTCATTTCCATTCACTGAGCTTCCCCTGAAACTGTTTGGAGCCCCCCTAGTAACAGGTTCCAAACCAGGTAAAGTCTTTGCCATGTTCATCTACTGACTTTTGGGACTGATCATTAAAGGGGCATTATGTAGTTTTCAGCGGCCACTAGTGGTGCGGTTTTAAGATTGCAACCAGGCGTGTGCGCATACGCGTGCTCGCTTGAACTCATGAGCGAGCATAATCCGAAACACAACCGCTTTCATACAGAAATCCTGCAATAAACGCAGAAACACCTGCATGCAGGCTGTGGCTTCTCACACAGACATGTTCAGGTTCTGTTACTTCAATGTTCCTGTCTCAGAGGCAACTCAACACCGGCTCTTTCACCGGAGGCTCAGCAATGTCAGCACAACTAAATGTATTTGATGATAATGAGCTGGTTTGAATATTATAACGAGATTGTGTCACACTTTGTAACAGTTAGACCGCAGTAAGTAAATTTACTGTAGTGTCAGCAGATGGCTCTTCCTCTGGGTTGTATATTATGTGGGTCATGTTAGTTACAGCGACTGAGAGGTGGAGAAGCTGTATACCTGAGTATCGGTAAAATAAACTCAGGTACTGTCTTTACTAATGCTCTCTTTGTTTTACTCTACATCATCTGAACCTGTGTTGTCTGATGGGCTTCAGCACATAAACCTTTATTGTTGTTTTGTATCCTTACGTGGAGCCTGTGTTTTGCTGGGAGCCGGTTTTATGGTGTTAGTGGTCTGCATGTTGTTAGCTGCCGTGTTGTCGCTGTAGTGTGAGAGCCTTGGGAGCGCGCACAGGGCTGAATCCGACCTGGGGACCTCACATTAAAAGCAGAATAGTGGCTGATGCAAGCAACGGCGAAAACAGGCGTGTGCTTCATTTCTGAGTGAGTTTTGAGCCCATTGACAATAAGGCAATGAAAATTTGATTTATTAAAATCAAAAACTTACATATAGCCCCTTTAAAGTAGCTATGTGAACACTGAGTTTTCAAGACAAGGGTGGAGCTTCATCACAGTGCCCAGCTGCTACCAAGTCATTTAATACCAAGTTTACTTGACCCTGGACTCACTGAGTCTGCCTGCTGTGGCTGCCGGAGCGGATCTCAGCCATTCTAGTCTGTGCTCACACCAGAAGCGCTGCAGTGCGTCCGAGAAGTGTCTCCCGCTCCGCTCCAGAGAGAAGCAACCAGTGTATTTCTGCGCGGCATCCGAACTAATGCGGGCCACAGTGAAGAAGGAAGTAGAATCGCAAAAGGACAAAAAACAAGTTATTAGCGTTGTGCAGGCTGCACACACTCTGCTGCTGAAATGCTGAGGGGCTTCCAGTGAAACCATGAGTGAAGGGACTGTTTAATTTGATAAGATGAGCTGAAGCTTCCTAACAGCTGGCAGGGCAGAGCTGCATTAGGACAAAGTGAATAGAGTGTGATGTCTGTGAAGATTTGTGGTCATCCAGGTCATAGTAATGTACTTTGTCTTTAACCTTCTTTGGATGAATAGAGTGTGTGCTGGCTAAAGTTTGCTAGATGATGATGTGGTGGTGGTGGTGTTGTTGTTGGTGGTGTTGTTGTTGTTGTTGTTGTTATTCAAGATTATCAATGGCAGGTCAAATTGGCCCGCAGGCCACCGGGATTTGGCCCGGTTCTCCCCGATTCAGTGGGCTTAATAGATGGGCGTCCCCTCCCTCCCTGTGTTTCTGTCACCACCTGCTTGACGTGGCTAATGGAGTAACTGGTTGTACAGCAAATGGTGATGAAAATACAGGAAACCATTTGTCTTGAGTTGGTGGTCTGCAAGCAGAAAATACTCCAACTATAGATCCTTCAAGAAGAGTTTTATGGATACTTAACATTGTAAACACCTTCTGGAAAAACCTGAGAAGAAAATCTCACTCTTTGATCGAGGCCATAACCTGTGACAATGTGTCACAAGTGAAGGCAACACAACCCGGTAACAGCATTGATGCAGTTTTATCACATTCACTTCCTGAATCAACACATCCTGGCTGCTGTACCCTGACTACTATTTCAACCTGGTAGGTTGGATGGGAGACAACCTGTGACGAGGCTGGCATATATGCAAAAAAAAAACCTAAAGGGGACAAAGCATTTGCAGTCAGGGCTCCGAGGCTCTGGTAAAGCCTGCCCCAGGAAATCAGGTCGGCTCAGTCAGTGAACTCTTTTAAGTCCCTTCTGAAAACATACTTTATAGGAGAGCCTTTCCCAATTTTTTTGACTTTATTTTATTCTATTCTCTATATTATTATATATATATTATATTTATTTTAAACGTGTATTTTAGTCTCTTAAGTGTTTTCTTGCTTTTATCATGTATTTGTTTTATTATTATGTTTTATTGTTAAAGCACTTGTTAAAGCACTTTGTAACTTGTTTGTGAAAAGTGCTCTACAAATAAAGATAATTATTATTATTATTATTATGCAATGCAGATTTTGACTACAGGTCATAAACGCCAAAGGTTTTGGAGCCACTGGTTTCAAGCAACAATTGTAGCTGCCAATATACAACTATAGCTATGTCTCAAACTTTTCAGTGAATGTACCAGCTCTGATGGTGTTCTGACAGCTGTTCTGAAGAATGGGAACATCATCTTTCTGCACTAGAGCCAGAAAAATTATGACGGAAAAATGCCAAGTAACATTTCTGGAATCTTTATATTTGAATTATAGTCTTTAATTAATGTCACTACAGTTGACAGTAATTTGGAAGCCATTATAAGCCATTTACCATGTCCCAACCACCACATGGCGGACCCCCAAAGGATTGTCTGCAATTCCATTTGATTATTATATTTAAATCTCTGTCATTTTGATATATTGCATCATAAATTCAAAACACTGGGAGGGAAGAGGTTACCGCAGCAACAACTGCATAAATCCTTTTATTCTCAGAAAAACAGACAGCTAAAAAAACCTGCTCAGATAATAGGAAATATATAATAAATATCTTAATCCAGATTTTAATGATATATTTCTTGTACACTGGGTTCTGTGACTGAAAATACACCTGTCCACTCCAATGGACATTCTGTGCCAAAGGCTATATTCTGCCTAGATTCTGCCAGATTTTGTATGTTTTATTTAAAATTATGACAACATTTGCACGTGAATAACTGTATCCATACCACTTGCTTTTAGTAAATGTTTAAAAACATAGTTTTTTGGACCTAGATTGAGTTCCATTGGAATAAACATTACAGTATAGTAATACAGTGTGTGTGTGTGTGTGTGTGTGTGTGTATATATGTGTGTATGGTAATAATAGTTTATTACTTATAGAGCACTTTTAAAACCAACATTAAATCAAATACAAGTTATAAAATAGTTAAAATTTCAACCAGTTAAAACATGAAGTCAGGTAAAACAAAACACATTTGAGAAATAAAAAAAATTACACTTCTTGTGGAAACGGATTGTCCCTTGATGCAAAGTGAAGGGGGGCACAGGCATTTTCAGAAAACACCAAACCATAATAAATCCTGGTCAAATATTGGACACATGAGCACATGAACATGTGTTTGTATGTAGTGTGAGCCATTACAAGTGAAAGGTTCAAGGACATTAACATCAGATGGAGCATTCCATGGAACAGATTTGGTCAAGATTTGCTTCCTGTTCTCCTTATTTTCTTCATACTTTGACTCTTTTAAAATGTTTAAAATGGTGAAAAGCTGCTTCAGATGCAGAGCTTATTGTACAGTGTGTGTTGCTTCACTTATTTGTGAGTAGGTGTCCTACAGTACAACCTTCTATTGCACATAATCACTTGTGTCTGTCTTTATGGATGATCCTGGAGGAGAGGCGTGTCTCTCCTTCACCCCAAAGACTTCATAACTCTGCTACTGTCTGTCAGTCCACCATTCAAACACACACACACAAACACTACAGTCTGTACTTTGCTGTTTCCCTGCAGGGAGAAAGAGAAGAAGCCGAAGGCCCCGAGGACGCTGATCACTGCTGATGGAAGAATCATGAACGTCAATGAGCCCAAGTATGCCTAGACACATTTTCTATCCAAAAAGCGAAAGCAATGATTAAGTGATTAAAGTAGTTAAAGGAACATTTAATTTTTCCAACTGGGTCTTAGTTTGTTACATTTGGCCAGTACTTAACAGAGTAATGGCCAAATGTACTATTAGTACTTTAATTCAGTAAATTGTCTGAATACTTCCTCCACCTGTGGTCAGATCTCATCTGCTGAGTGGTGCAGCATTACGAGCTGTGACTGACTGGGAGGGAAATCGACCAATGCCCTCAGCTACAGCAGTGAGCACAGCAGAAAGCAATATAACTGGTTCTTGTTCTGTTCAGCCAGAGCAACAAAACGCATCCAATCAACTGCTTCAATTTTGTTTTGAAAAGACATAATAAAGACAACAGGTCAACTCCACTCTCACGCAGTTTCCCTTCAAAGTTCTTCATAACTGTAATGTTTTTTCCTTGAGACCCTCAATTACTTCCTTCGGCGCCTGATCAAACTGCTCAGACAGGGAGGCAGGTAAAAAGCCACCAGGTGCTGTGTGATTGCTTTAATAGCGGCCTTCAGTTTTTGTTCTCTGGTAATGGATTGGCTCGCCTGCTATTAGATTGCAACAGCAGCATGCTTGGGGCAACCTGATAGCTGCGGGCCACCCCGGTCCCTCCATTAGCAAGAGGTATATATCCAGAGCAAGGCCACAGGGGTCGAGGCCTTAAAGCACCACTGATTTTCATTTGTAATCTGAGCTGAGGTCACAGTATCTTTATATGATCTTTCACTTGACATCAGCAAGGAGACAGGACAGTATGGTTCTCTGCAGCCTGGGCGCTAACATTTTTTACCATTCTTTCATTAATGGCTAGTAAAGTCTTGCTCTGTAGATTGATGCTACTCAAACACAATATATAATATAAGAAAAGGTATTCAGTGAATGAACTGACTGACTGGATTGCCAAACTGTCAGAGAACTGAGGCTGTACATCACATTGCATGACATTACAAATTTAAATTCCAGTTTACCAAGTTTCTTTAGCTATCCAACGAAGGTTAAAATGAAGGGCAACTGGACTTGGTTGAAGCTACTGGAAGACGTTTCGTCCCTCATCCAAAGGACTTCTTCAGTTCTGACTGACTGGCAGGGAAACTCAGCTATTTAACCTCAGTGGGGTCGTTATCTCGGGTCATCGATACCGCTGGTTCGTTAGTGTTCCTTGTTGCTGTGACGACAGTCGTTACAGTCGTTGAGACTACCTGTGGCCAAGACTGAACGACCATCGTTGGTCATCGTTTATTTGTGCATTTACAGGCTGGACTTCTCTATAAGTGAAGATGAAGAAGACAACACAATCGTCTTAGACCTGGCAGTGTACAGGTAGGAACAATGAGCTTAATCTCATCACAGCTTCACTTATAAAAATCTAATTCAAATTTAATGAGACGATAAAATTCAAAGGCACTGTGGAGATGCAGGCCCACAGCTGATTCGGCTTATTCAGCTGTGTTTATGTCAAATATACTTGCTGTACATTAACAGTTCCATCTGTTTACGGTTCATTGCTTTGTATGCCTTTATTTTTGTCGATGTTGGTTTCCTTCTCGTCTGTTTGTTGTTTGCACAGGGGGAGCAACTGAGAAGCAGCATCAAATTCACTTATGCGTCAGCATGATTCTGATACGGAAATATAAACTTGATGTACAGCAGCAGTCACATCAAATCGAACGGATCTAAATCATTGCGAGAACTCTCTGTGACCTCAAGTTGGAAACATCACAACCATGGTGTTGATTGTTTGAACCATTTTAACGTCCTGGTTCAATCAAACCGCTCCTCCACAGCCCAGCTTCATGGCTCTAATTGATTCAGCTGTAGAATAAATGTGACCAAAGGTCTCCACCATCAGAACAGATCCATGCAGACTACAGACTGTACCTGTGTCTCTTTATATGAACTGACCTGACTCCTCTTTACAGACACTTGGACACCTCATTGATAGACGTGGATGTTCAGCCAACGTACGCTAGAGTCGTCGTCAAAGGAAAGGTATGAGATTTTTAGATGATGACCTTTAGGATTAGGCAACCATTAATTGTAATTTTTCCTCAACACTGTTTTGGCTGAACACTTTGAACTTTCCAACAAATTCATTCAAGCAGCATTCAGGGTTTTTGACATCCTAAAGGGCAGCAGCCGAGATTTAGACACAAGCCTCCTTAAGTTTATAGGTCAGCAACTTTTTCCATCATAGTAATATTTATCAGTTGTTGCTGATTTGTTTCTGATGTAGGCCTCCAGATTTTCTAAGAATATATCTGACATTTTTTAAAAAAAACTAAAAAATAAATTGCTCCTTTGTGCTGTTGTTCAGCCTGTGGAGAATCGACTTGATTTCACATCTGCTTAACAGAAATGAAATTCAATATACCTTTAAAGTTTTTTTCATGTCATTTTCATGCATTCTGCAGAGGTGTCCTCAGAGCCCCAGGCTCAGTTTCATTCCCCATTTATTCATACTGGAAGGGGGCCAGTTTAACCACAGACTACTACTGCCAGCCAATGAAGGTCCTGGCTCAAGGGCACTGCGATGTTAGTTGGCAAGGAAACATTTCTTAATCCAGCCGGTCTGGGGATTCAAACAAATGCCCTTGCCTACACCAGCACAAATATAAATGCGTTAAAATCATGTTTCACTTCTTATAAAAATAGTTTGCATGATATTTCTATTAACTGCAGGTTGGTTCTGAAGCCTGCAAAAACACTACACAACATGCAGTATAGCTAGTACAATATAAGCTCTGGTTTCTCACTGTGAACTGTTGATGCAGCTGAAAGTCAAAGATCTTCTCCTCCAGATTGCAAGCAGCAGACACTCAGCCAGACACATTGCAGGATCACAGCCCACCGTTAACATTACACTCTGCAAAGTCACACTGACAGTACTTACCAGCTGCTTTAACTTTGTATATGCAACAAGACATCTTCCCCATCACCCTTTCTGCTCATTTGAGAGATATTAAAAACAAGTGTTTGTCAGTGCTTTCCAAAACAATGATGGCTAAAAGTTAAAATAAACCAGCAGTGACTGTTGGAAGGAGGCAGAATGTGAGTTGTCTCAACTGTCTAACTGGCAATATGGCCAAAAATGTTAATCGATAATTATCACGATAAATGTCAAATCATTATTTCTTCTCAAGTTTAAAGCTGCTCCTGCTGAAAGTTGAAGAAACCAGATATTTCATTTAGATGGCTATTTTACATACTTTATGGTCAGAACATGACAAACACTACTATAAGAGATTACTTGTCAGGAAAACATTAATTTGAAGTGTTTGAACAAACAAATAATGCTGTTGTTTCTCTGGTGAAGTCTCAACTGTCAGAAAGAGCAAACAGCACACATTTCTCCTTTGCATGTTTCTGCACACACAAATGTGTTTTTGACAGAGTAATCCAAATATTACAGTGTTAAAGCTGAGCTAGGCAATTTATTTCAGAAGCATCTTTTGTTATATTTGTTGAAATTGCCTTTACAGCCCAACAGCAATCAATAAATGAAATGCTCTCACACACATGACTGTGATAAGCACGGCCAATCATTTCATTCGGCCTAAATGAAATGATTGGCTGGCCTACCTGTGCAGTGCACACTGGCTTTGGTGGGAGGTCTTGTGTGATTCTTTTAGTTGGATACTTTCAGAATCTGCTGTATCTCGCTAGTTTCTCCCACATTGCCTTCCCCAGCTTTAAGTGTAGCTGTTGCAATTTCTAAAGGTGCGTTTGGATTGAACACAGCAACTTGGCACCATGCTTTTTTAACAGATGTGAACTTTTGTATGTTTTCTGTCTGTGTTTTTTCCCATAAACAGCCAATATACTGACAGTTCGCTATCACTTAGTAGTAACATAGGCAATGAAAGAGTGTCTCGAAACTCCAGCTCTTCATGTTTTTTCACCACTTTAGTTAAAGTTAAAACATATTTAACTCACTTGTATCTTTGGCTCAATTCCTGCTGCCCAAAGCAAATTTGCGTCTGTTCACATGGACTTATGTCTTTCCATTGACTATATGTGCAATTGTACAGGCTTTAAAATGAGCTTTCTATTTAGTCTTAACACAGCTTTAGTAGTAAATATTTGAATAGGTGGTAAAACAAAGCAGTGCTTATTCTATCTGCCCTCCTTCTCAAACTAAAATCTCTGTTTTCACACACTTCCTGCTAATATATTAATATGTCAGCAGTATGGAGTCAGTATGGATTCACAAGACTACAGGCTGCTTTGAGATAAGCATGAAGATGATGCTTGTTGCAGAGTCGGGGGCAGAGAGAGGTGTGATGGATTAAGAGTCAGATTTAGAGCAAATAAAAAGCTGTCAGAAGCTGCTGGATCATCAAACCTGTTTCTGACTTTGACATTCTGATACATTTATGGAGAGACCTGCTGTGAAGTCATTTCCCAGACCATTTTTTCCAAAATGTCAGTCTTCCTCTGGTAAATTCAAAATTGATCAGCCGAAGTGTTAGAATAAATAAAATATGAGCTGTAATCACCTGAGTTACCTGCCAAAAGTGCAAGATTCGGTGTCAGCAGAAGGTGAGCATTATTTATCTTGTGTCAAGCGTTCATCTCCTGCTCTGCATGAGATCTGCTGAAGTCTGACTGTATTTTATTGTGAAGGGAGGCTCAGTTCTGCAGCCCACGGTAACCAGAGTTTACCTCCAGGGGCCAGACGCCTCAAACTCTGAACTGCAGACTTAAACAGTGTGTACATATAAAGACAGAAATATGCAAACACTACCACTCATAGCACTAATTTGTCACATGTACCTACAGTATAAACCACCATCAGCTTTCATATCTCACTCATCATTATTGAACATCACAAGGGTGATCAATGATTCATTTATAGGGCAAATATGGAAACAGACTTTACAAAATGCTTCACACATAAGAATCAAATCAGAGGATGATTGACGGGGAATGGCTCCATTGTAATGAAAAGAATTTAAAAAAGCAATCACATAAACAGTTATTTAAAATGAAGCTCATTAGTAAGCCTTTGATTGAAATTTCACAGAACGCTGTGTAGACTACAAAAATAATAATGTGTGGAGGATTTTAATCTCCACAAACAGACCACAGTGAACTTTAAGGCTGATTAAACAGCTGTTTGGCCTCACATAAATTCAGGAGATGTTGTTATAAATACAGAACCCTCCAGGTTTGGAGTTCTTTAGCCCTCACTGCCAGAGTCCTGAATGTCATGGCTCTGCTTCAAGCTGTGGTAGTGTTTTATGGAGGGTTGTTTTATTCCAGGGGTCAACCTGATTGGATGGGTGGTGTGATTTATGCAGTGATACATCAACTCAGGTCTTTAAAATTTCTTCTAAATATGACCTCATTTAGAGGAGCGGGGGTAACTGACTGAAAGGGAGTCATCTGTGAGGGGTTTATCAAATCAGCCGCACTTTAGAGCTGCAGGGCTGAAAAGGAGTTAGAGGACGGCTGGAGTTTTGGAGTTTTCCTTCTCTGCCTGCTGTCAGCATGGTTTCCCCTAAATTCCCTCTCAAAATGAAATAAAAGTACATTGAAAAATGAAAGTCTAATTTTACACACACAGGGATCATTTTGGCTTTTATAGGATTTCGCTCCAGTGATTGATTGCCACTGTTCTGAGTTGGAGCTATTCTGGGAGATCTCCAAAGACTTTTCTGGAAAGTGTACCTATAAAAAGGCTCACTAATGATTAAAGTCATTTGACACACTGGGACAGCAGCGGTGCCAGATCAGCACATTAATCTTGCTAATTAAAGTTATGAATAATTTACTCTGCAGATATTTCAGATGGTTCTGCCTGCTGAAGTAAAGCCCGACAGTTCGACAGCTCACAGGTCCCAAACCACCGGACACCTGGTCCTCACTATGCCCAGGGTACGTACAGTTACACATAAGGCTGGAACACATGTACACCTGAGCCAGGTACAGGGACCTGCAGCAGAAGTTTAGCGTATTTTGTAGAGGGTTACTTTGTGCTTTTTTTGCAAATGCAAACTGACCTTTTGGCCACACTAGCAACATGAATCTAAAGACCATGATGTTAGTCTGGTGCTCCAACACTTTAGTTCACTTCTATCTATTTGTTGTATAGTCAACAAATGTGGTGCGGACATTCATGCTCAACAGAGGATGAATCTTTGATACTTCTTCTTGCATTCCCATCTGATCAAAAGTTTAAGTTGCTCCACACCACTATTTGTGAGGTGCCACTTGACTTAGAGGTTAAAACATCAACCATTGGCTGCTGTGTCCACCGTTTGCGTAAGACTGGGGACATGTGTTGCATCTACTCTTCATTTCCCATCCAACGGTATGTAAACACCAGAAGATTATTTCCAGAGTCTTAGATCTGTGTGTCAGTTCCTTCCTTCTAAACCCTCCCAGACTGAGTATTAAACTTAGACACGAACTTGTCTTATTATCTGCCTTTATTCTATTTTATTTATTCATTTTCTGTGTAGTCATGGAGTTTCTCAACATTACAGCTTTTTAAAGTTTTAGTCTTTTGTCTGCAATTTGCATCCTGTTGGAGGCAACGTCAGAGAAGAAATAAAATCACATGATTAAAAATCAACTAAAACCTAATAATTCACTTTAAAGAAGAGCTTTATAGATACCTTTAACTCTGTTAAATTACAACTTTATGGATTAACTTTCAGCTGTTGGCTTTTTTCTGTGATTGCTTTGCTCCTGCCAATGAGGAGCAGGGATTTTATACTCTGAGGTGTAATTAAGTAAGTCTTTATAGTGTCTAGAAAGAGACACAGGTGCTGATACTGCAGAGTCAGAGCTGCTGCTATTAATCCTCCGTATGGCTTCCGATACATCCTGCACTAGAGCGCCAGTAAACAGTTGTGATATGAAAGTGTGGGAGCTGTTTGCAGGCACTACGAGTAAACACGTTTTTTCTTCTGATGTGTCTTTTTAGGCTGAAGGTGAAATCAAAGTGACAAAGACCATCCCACATCCGCCCAGAGCATTTCAAAGCAGACGCAGCAACTCGTCTGAGCACAATGAAAGGTAAAGATATTCTCTACACCCAATGCAGCTGTCAACCTGATGATACAGACATCCTTTTAATGTGTGGACAGGATGGAAAATGAGCATGTTAGCTTCATAAACAGTCATCCCCAGCATCTAAATCTCATTCCAAACCAACAAACCTCATTTTCATATTTTGTCCTCAGTTTCTTGATGTTAGTCATTTCTATCTTACAGTGCATCTGCAAAGATCTGAATTTTGCCAATACAAATACTGTTCCATTTATATGGCTGTTTCTGGTGGTAACATAAAATAAAATGGTAAGAACTAATCAGTTTGTAATATTAATGAGGCATAAAGAGCGACTAGCAGCAGAGCTGCAGCCTGCAGGCAGCTGGATGGTCTGTGTGTTTCTATAAAAGTGTTGGTCTCGGTTGGTCGTGGTGTTGGTCTTTGTTTGGCCTTGAGTTGAATATGCACATTCAAATGCCTCTGGCTTATCAGGTCCCTGTTGTCCTAATTACAGATGCCTGCTGTATTTTAAATGATCTGCATGATACATTTTATCAGCCGTGTTGATGATAGCGCTCTCCCCACTAATGACCATGTACAGGTCATAGATAACCTTGACCAGAGCTGAAACATTACAACATTTTTTTATAATGATTGATGCCTGTTCTCCATCCAAATGCAGCTTCTCTACAAGTGTCCATTTGTGCGCCCATGGGAGTGTGGTTAGGCACATTGTTGCTGCATTGCTATCTTGAGACAGCAGAAGGTGATTGCGCCACTGACCAACAAAAACCAGGTCTAAAGTCAATGGTGCAGTATTTCCCCGCTACTGTATTTAAAGGGTGCATTATTCAGATAGTAAAATGCTCCCAATTAAGACAGACCCAGTGCGCATTTATGCACGAGGCACAGCAACATAACTTCATTGATTATTTAAATCTCCTGACTCTCCGACATCATCAGTCAGGATGCACTGACAGTGGCCCCTCAAATCATTAAAGAAAACACTCATACATCAACACAGCACACAATAAAGAAATCGCCTTGAAGAATGAGATGTGACTCGTGACCAGTTCACCATAGTTTCTAAATATGCCGTGCAGCAAGGATCCACATGCCTTATAGAGGAGACAAGCGTCTGTCTCTCACAGAGACTCCAGTCTGCAGTGGAGTTCAGACACTTCACTGATAAACTAAAACACGCATAAGAATAATTAAGAGACTATACAACCCTCAACAACTCTGTTTTACTGTGGAAATGTACATTATCTTGAATTTACAAAGATAACAGATGAACACGGAGGAAGCGTTCAGTTTTGGTTAAACAGCAAATTACAAGAGCAAAGCAGAAAACAGGGAGATGTTTTACAGCAAAATGATTAAAATATTGAGGGCCATAATTCATTCTTGACTTTGAAAATAGTTTAACAAAATAATCGCCCACTTAGAAGCTTTTTGTGGAGCTTTAATTCACCCGCATCTGATTTCTTCATCAGTGTATGTTGTCAGCTCAGTTGTTGAAAGCTCTGGACTAAGCTAGTGATTTGTCATACTGCTGTTTTTAAGGTCAAGAATGAACTTTAACGCTCAAAATTCTATCCTTATTTAGCAAGAATAAAAATCTACGCACACTTTACTTATAAAACGGGGGAATAAATTTGATAAACTCTGCAGAAATGGTTCATTTCTCTGTAAAAGCAAGTATGTCTACCTAATTAGCATTGGAAACAGGTGACATTATCCAAATGAACATATATATAGGATATACTGTATTTTCCCTCTTACATAAATTCTTTACAGTACCTCTTCGTAGACTGAACCATGACGGCCGCTCTGTGAGGTTAGCTCAGATCAGAGCAGCTTCCCCTCTTAATGGTCACGTTAGTCTGCAGTGCTGTTGGACTGAGCTCTGTTTCGTCTCCTTGCCTGGAGGTGCACTCATCATCGCCCTATTATCATTACCATTTTATGACCAGGAGCTGCTTCTTGTCCTTCAGCTGGCCCCATCAAACACAGTACAGAGCCCCATTGCAATCCTGAAGCTAAAATTAAAGAGCAGATAAAAATGCTAAGCTGCTCCTGCGCCACTGGTGAGCAGCACTGCCGGCTGCTGAGTTATTGCAGTATTTGGACATGATTAGGAGCGACCTTTGACCACAGGCTTACCCACAGCCTGTACATTCAGCCTCTGGTATGGATGGAAATGCATCTGAAGGCCATGGTTAGGTTTAAAATGGATTTGCTTGAAGACGCAAGGCAGGGCAGTGTGTGTATTGTATCATGAAATGGAATATCAAACATTATCTAAAACCCACAGCTAATGTCACCTGAGATGATGTCCTGAGTGGTTTTTGAAAAGTCAGAAGTCAGGGTCAGCTGCAAAGCAAGATCTGTCTCATCATATTTAAGTTACATTTCCTGCAGCACTGTGCATCCAGGAGTACTGAGAAAGTTTGAAAAATTAGCGCTGCAAGTGATGAGTATTCTCATTATCAACCAGTATTTTCTTTTTTTTTCATGAACGCAATTAATAAACATCAATTAAATGTTCCAAGAAGTCTTTGTTAGTCTTGTTTTGTCCGACCAACAGTCCAGAGGCCAAAGACATTTGATTTGCAGTGATTTTAAAATGACTACTGGCGTTTTAGTGCTCTAACTAATCTACTGATTATTTTCTTAATTAAACAATTAATATTTCACTCTATTAGAAAGAAAACTTCCCAGGTGTCCAATGTGCATTCTTTGAAACACACCAAAACGTTTCAGGTAACTATCACATAGAACAAAGAAAAGCTGCACATTCTTATATTTGAGACACTAGAACCAACATTGTTGCTTGATAAATGACTGAAACAATTAATTGATTATCAAAATAATTAATTTTCTGTCAGCTTATTGATTAAATGACTCATTGTTTCAGCTCTGCTTCTTTTTTATTAATGTCAGTGTTTCCAGACCTTAGCTATTAACTAACAAAAAAACAAGGTATCTGGATTAAGTTTATTCTTTTTTTTCTTTGAGTGATTTTAAATGCTTACATTGTGGTTAATTGCACATTAGTTAGCAGTCTCCAGCTCTTTCATAATAATATGTCTGATAATAAGGTGTGAATGGAAGAGACTTTGCTCTTCTGTTATCGCCTCACAGACCTGTGACATATGATGACCAGCGGGCCTTTGCCCTGGGTGACCTATTACAGGGAACCATTTTGGACTTCCTAACCAGGGGGAGCATTAGTAGAGGAGCCCTGGACTAACGATTCCATCCATCTTGCATAGAGATGTGCTGACAATTAGGTTTACCTGCCCATTACCAAAATGAGTGTTAGAGCTAAACTTAGGCTTGAAGATGTCCGATGATGTGGAGAAAATTACTGTGACTCTTAAATGTTTGTGTGGTATAAGTGGGGAAGGGAAATAAAAGAAAAGAAAGAAAAGTGGTTGAAATTTTTGTTTGTACACCAGAAAGGCTAAGCCGCTGCTGGTGACTGTTTTTAATTTTAGAGTTAAAACATTTGACATTTCTTAGCTGCATTTTCTGTTTGCAGTAGCAGTAATGTATCCTAATGAACAAAATAACCCTAGGCCAGTTTAATGTTGATATCTTTAAAAACACAGTATGCTTTGGTTTTGTCTCTTGCTGAAACAATTGGTCAAAGAATTGATTTTACATTCAACAGAAGATTAATTGACTAAAATGTTGTTAAATCACTTAATTGATTCATTTCTAACTTCTCAAATACGTTAATGTTCTGCTTTTGTCATATAATTGTGAACTAAACGTCTTTAGACTGTTGGTCAAAGAAAAGGAAGTACGTCACTTTGGACCTTTGTCACAATTTTCTTAGCCTGGCTCCAGACCGGCATAAACCAGTATATCAACTGGAAGCTAATACAGGCCAATAATAGTGTATATCACACTGTTTATACAGTTGTGATTAACATAGCTTAAATAAGAATTGGTGTTAAAGCTTCTTTGTTTCTGCCTATTTGTGACATGAATGATAGTAGGTGATGTGGAAGCTCAGGAAGGGCGACTGATAACCAGAGCACTATCATCACATCTCTCCATCAGGACATGTAGAACATGACACTAGCCTTTTCTGAGTCCATGTGACTTGTTTAGTCTTATCTAAATGTAAATCACATCCACTCCAAACCTAATCCTCTGTGGATCGGTGGCTGCATACACTAAACAGAACCTGCTGATGTTGTTACTACAGCCAATTACAAGTCAATTACTGCAGGTCTCAGTCACTGAGCGGAGAGCGATAACCTTACATGAGCTTAGTCATTATACAAGCTTAGTCACAGTTTCTGCAGACATTCATGAGACCTGCTCTTACATTAGCATTGTGTTTACTCAGGGCCAGATAATCAGATCCTTAGCAACAGTGACTGAGGCTCATGGGTATTGTAGTATCAGGGCAATTCACAACATCAATCTGACAGAGAAAAACATTTTTTTCTCAGAAAAAAAGTTGAAATAATTAAAACTGGTTGCCATTATGTAAACTTATAGCATCATTAAGAGTCCTGTGTTGGTTAAAAATACTTAAGGCTCAGTATATTTAAATTAAACAACCCTTAAGTCAATAAGACCAAAATAACTAATAGTTTCATTGAAACTATGTACTCAGGTTGTAATTATACTGAACATAGAGGCAAAGGTCTGACACAGTTATTTTAGTTGGACTTTAGTTAGTTGAATTTATACAGTATATCACTGATTTCCAGTACAGCTGAAACAATTAGGTGATAGATGGGAAATTAATCTGCATCAATTTTAAGAACTGACTAATTTTTTAAGCCAAATCTCCGGGTCCAGCTTCTCCAATGTGATAATTGCTGCTTTTCTTTATTTTATATCAAAGCAAACAGAATATCTTTGGGTTTTGGACTGTATAGACAAAACATGGTATCACATTAGATTCTTACTATTAACTGACATGTTGTAGGCCAAATGATAATTAATTCATAGTAAACTAACACATAAATAGATACTGAAAAGAATCGTTAGTTGCATCTATAATTACTGGAGAAAGCTTCTTGAAAGAACTGCTAAATTTACATAAAATGTCTGCAGAAAAAATAATTATGAAAAATCTAAATAATTAATATCTTGTTACAGACCTCTGGCTTGTGTCTGGTTGGTGTTTGGGGGACTCAGGACCTAAGTATTTCTAAAATCCTGGATGCAGTTCTGAATGTTGCTGAAGGGGAATGTTCACAAGCACCTGTTTTTCACCTGTTTTTTCTCTCGTAGAAGCAGTTAAAATGCTGCTTGGAAGCCATATCTGTTTAATTAAACGTATCCACTCTAAAAATACACTGGCCTTCTCTATAAACAGGAAAATGGTCTAAATTACTTTCTCATTTTCTCCCGCCGAGCTGGTAATTTCCCTGCTGCAGAGTGAATTCACTGCAGTGGATGAAGGCGAGGACTGAAAGTACCACTGTGCTTACCGTACAGCATATGTCCTCTGACAGCTTTATTCCCTTCTCAATAAACAAGTGGCAGAAAGCACAGATTAACAAAGTGGCTCCTCCTCCTGCGTCTAGCTGTTGTGCAGGAGATAAAATTGTAATTCCCATGCCTTTTCTGGAAAATCAGCAATTTTTTTAAATATCTTCTCACCCTTGGTTCCCACTCTGTAGACTGATATCTCAAGCATATTATAATAGGCTGATATTTAAATCAGCCTTTATGTTGTGATGTGGAGCACTCGACTAACTGCACAGACAGTTGACAAACTAACTTTTGTTAATTTCTTTAGATGTTTTAGATGTAAGACAGTGATTTTGTATCCAAAGACCCGGTGAAAATCTGGTGTTGAAATGTCATTTTGTTACTGCAGCAGCCCAATATATATCCATCCATCCATCCATCCATCCATCCATCCATCGTCAACCGCTTATCCTGCGCACAGGGTTGCGGGGGGCTGGAGCCAATCCCAGCTGACATCGGGCGAAAGGCAGGGTACACCCCGGACAGGTCGTGAATGAAAAAACAAAAACAAAAGTGTTGCGTTTATAATTTTGTTCAGTGTAATATTATTAATTAATCAGTACTCTGGAGAGTCCATAAGATAAACATGGATTAGCATCAACATGTTACTGTGTGTTTGCACATTCAGATGCAAATTATTTTCATTTCACCAGAGATTTGAGTTTCAGGCGCAGCCGTGGGCTGCTGCTTCATACTCTATGTTTGGCTTATTTAATTAGAGCTCAGTTTAAACTGTTAAGACTCGTTAAGAGACTTATAGAAAACTTTCCTCTGTCTCTCCTTTATTCTCATGTCTCTATCCACCAATTCTTCATCATGTACAGTCAAATACTGTATATATATAATCACTTTCCATACCTGCACATATTTACCATGTTATTTCCAGGATTATTAGTCATAACTTTGGCGACCCCTTAAAGTTCATCCAGCCCTATCATCACATCAAAAATGTTATTTGTCTTATCCATTCCTGCAAAACTAATTATATTCCCAGCAGCATCAGCTGTACTTTGTGATAAGGGCTAATTAACAAATGTCTTTCTCTCCTCTTTCTGTATCCAAACTGTCATTGTTATGTCAAAGGTGAAGATGTCAAAGCAGCTTCAGTCTCACGCTGTCACATGTCTTACATGGTTAACTTGACATGATCTCATTCTACACAAACACACACACACATTCAGTCATCAGAAGAATCCCCAGACACCTCCTCTGTGTGGACGAGGGCCTGTGGTTTAAACAATATACATTGATTAATTGGTAAATTGAATGAGTTAATTGTTGTGGGATGGAAGTGATGAGTTCAGAGGAGACATGGGATCAATTTAGTTTAATGGTCACAGACTGCGTGGTAAAATGGAGCATCACCCTCCTGAAGGAACAGGTCACACTGAACTCAACTGCAAAACATGCCAGTTCATCTGAGCTTGTCTCTCTTAAGAAAGTCCATGGTTTGATTTAAAGACGGGTAAAGAAAAACAAAAACCTTTAAAGTGATGATTCATCATCAGCAGATGAAGGCAGACAGATGAAACTTAAGGCTTGGCAGTATTTGTCATCTGTTACATGTTTTAACTCTCTGAGCAGCTACAACTACAAAACCATAAACAAGTGGTAGTAGAGCTACGTATCATTTCACATTTTGTGATGCTAGTGTTTATACAGTAAGTTTAGGTGACAACACAAACATTTCCCCCTTTTTTTTGATACCTTAATTTGAGAAATATAAAAATATAAACTAGTGGTAACCGATACAGCTTTTTAAAAGGCCCGATGCCACATATTAGAAAAGACGATGTTGACAAGGGGGAGCACTAACATCGTCCCACAGCAGCCACACTGACAAGGCTACCTGCAGATGTGGATGTAGACATTTTTTGTATATCAGCCTTCTGAGTGCAGGTATCAGCAAATGCCAGTTATTTCAAAATGCCAGATTAATCGGCCCGCTGATTAAGTGATACACCTAAAAAACACCTAAACTGAAATGCATATATGGCATACATGCAGCAGTCATATTTATAGTCTGGGGGTTTAACTGCACGTCCTGCACATATATTGCAGATTTATCAGGTCCCATATTGACCTTGTACAGTCGCATTAAATCTTGAAACTTTGACGTCTGTGCACAAACATTACCAAGACAAATGACAAGGGATTTATTTCACTTTGACAATAAGTCATTTGGTGTCTGTTAACCCCTTTACACTTGACCTCTGTCATTTATTATTAAATTAAATTAGATTAGATAGAAGGTAATTATTAGCAGATTTAGTTTTTTAGTCATGTGGGAAATCAAATGGGTACATGCAGGATATGGCTTTTTGAACAGTTTTGTTTTTATGCCAAGGCCTTTAAAGCAAATGTATCGAAATGTATCAGTATAGCGCCAGTCAAACGTTTAATTCCTGGTGGAGTTTTCTTGTAAATAGTTTCATATAGCATGAAGGTTCATTCTAGATCTTGGCATTAGTAGTTCATCTCAACTCAAGCTCCACTTTTTTCCTTTGTACGTTACTTTCAGCTGCATCTTAATGTGCTAATCTTTTACTTTCAATGGTGTTTTCAAAATGCCAACCGCTCATGAAGACTGTGAGATGTGGTTAAAAGCACACAAAAGGAAAAGGCTAGTAAATGGATCTAGAACTACGATTATCTTGTGAAAACACAGTTATATTTACATTCAGTGCACACACACTGTGGGTATCATCAGACATGTTGTCTGGACCCGCTCATCAAAACCATAGCGCCACTAGTGCTCAAAACTTATAATGTACCTTTTAAACTGCAAGTAACCATAGCAACAATATTGAGGCTTTAGGCTACATTACCAGTTAACTCACTAAAAGGGTTTGAAATCGACCGATATGAATAAGTTGCAGATAAATCCGCATCTGCGTTCAAAAAAGAAACAGTGAGTCGGATCCTTCATGTCATGAGTGTTGCATAATTTTCCCACCAGAGGGCGCTCTGCAAATCCCCTGTTAATTACCCTGCAGCACCACAAAACAATCAATCAATTACCTGGCCGCAGTCTATGGAGCATGCAGAAACAGGAACAGAGAGTGTCTGTATTCCCGGTTGGTCATTTGTCACCTTAAATACATGACTTAATAATAATATAAATAGCCCTCAACACTTCTCCTTTTCTTAAAACATTCATGACCATCCATGCTAACCCTCCCGTTTCTCATCACCCTCTGCCGGTTTCCTCCCAGGTCACAACAGCATTATGTTTAATGTTACAAACAGTGCTGCAGTTCTAGTGAACGGTCCTTTTATTTCTCCCTTGTTCATCATTTCTGAATATTTTCGATCATCACGCCCGTTGTTCAATTAGATCAGCCACAAAGCTAACGTTAATGAGTGGCTAAATTATAGTGTTTAACGTCTTCTAAATATATCTGAGAGCTGCTTGTCTGTAGTTACAGTCAGAAATGATTAAACCAGAGGGGACATGTAAATAAATGTGAGCTGAACAAGGATCTAACACGGCTTCCTGACAAACAAAGTTATCTAGCTCCTCTTTGGGGCGGCTACTTTTGTTCAGCATTCTGTTATGTTATCTTGGTGAGGTCATATAGCTACAAATCTAAGGGATAATCTTTGTTTATGTTGTGCGAAAAAAAGAACATTGGCCAATATATCGGCACATCAGATTTTAAAATCCTCAAATACTGAAATTGGTATTGGTCTTAATACCTTATCGGTCGGGCTCTAGTCACTTCATTTATTATTTTCTTCTCTTCAGACACATACAGTGTCATAAAAGAAGAATATGATGTTATTGCCTCTGATGTATTTCATTCCCTGATGTTTTCACTGTACAGGGGAAAAAAAGGTCCCCAGAGACTGGAAGTGGACCCCAGCAAGTACACAGCCATCGACCTTGCCAACATCGTGCCACGGCAGAGCACCAAAGAGTGTCCGCTAGAAATGTCCAGGTTGCCTCCACCAACCACCACAGGTCATAGCAGCTTCTCTGAAGGGTTTGTGGACGACCCTGATGTCCCCCCACTGATATAAGACAGAGAAATAACACTGACCAATAAGGATGGACGCCGCTTGTTTCTGAGGTGGAAACTTTCAAGTAAAAGGCAGATAACTGGGCAGCTTTGAATGCTTGTATTATACAAATAATTTGTAACATTAAAACATAAAGATCTGCACTTTTGATTTGATATTCTTGAGGACTATATATAGCTATAGATACCCATGGGCTGTGAACGGAAACACTGCTGTTGCAGAAAACAAAACATTGATTTTATTCTTATTGAACTGAAAGGTTTCACCGTTATTTCAGTGGGTTTCATGACCTTTTAAACCCTGATGTTGCTGTCCAAGAATGAAAAAGAACTTCAGGGAGAAAACCAGTTTTTCTTTGTTACTTTTTGCAGATGTGTTTTTTTCCTGTAAACTGCAGCCGGAAGGGAGCTGCAGAGAGCTGGAAAATCAATCAGCCCAGTTTGGTCTGCTTTGCCTGTAGCCCGTTTGTGTGTTTTAGAGTTGTGTGTTGCTTGTTGTTGTGATGCTTGTCCTGAGCGTCTCCTTAAAGCTCACCAGCAGATATTCTGCCAGACTTTGTTCTCTCCTTGAAACTCTTCTGAAGTCTCTTTGCTCTTTACTTCCCTCTGTGTTGTCACCCAAAAAGCCTGGAGGTCACAACTTTCTCCTCTCCTCTCCTCTCCTCTCCTCTCCTCCCTCCCTGAGCAGCTCTGAGTGCCGTTACAGCTGCAGCACCTTGAGAGATCCTTTGGGACATTCTCCTCTTCTCCTTCCTCCTCTCCTCTCTCTTATATTTCTGATGGGACTAGTAGTTCAGTTTTTGTGGCTTTATTTCTGTTTGTTTAGTTAGGAATTGGTTTAGGGTAGAGGGGAAGCCTCCAGATCCTACGGCTCTTTGTGGGCTGGTCTGGAGGGCTTCCCTTTCTTGTTTATTTTGGCCAGCCCATCAGACTTGTTATTTTGTTTGAGTTACATTTTGAACTTCTTTCATGTTTATTTAATAAAATTATGTTTCGTTGGCACAACTCTTGGACTCTTAATCATGTTCGACCACCATTTGTAACAAGCTTTCGTAACAGTGATCATATTGTCCAGGACATTTTGATGTTTGTGGTGGTTAGCAGTTGTGTCTTTGTTTATTGGATCTGTCAGTAGATGTGGTCATATAATATTAATAGAGTTGCGTCGTGACTTTTAGACTTGTAGACTTTTCTGGAGCTAGCAAAGACCTATTACACGACCCATATCTGAGTTGAAGTTGGCAGTAGAAGCTGATCAGTGGTCTGTTGGCAGCACATCCTCATTAATTATTGATAAATAATCTGGTCTGTCATGTGGCTGTGCGGCTGTGCAGATAATGCATCTTTTTTCATTCTAATGAGACATACCAAACATCGACGCTGGCATTTCAAATATGCCGACAATACTCAATTTGTTATCAGTCGCCTGCGATCAGTGGGAAATGCTTCATTACGGATATTTAACAATTCATTTAACTGCTATTTATTTTCACTCTGGGACCATTATGTCAATGTGGGTTAATTATTCAGAGGTTTCTTTAAAAGAGAAGGCCTTCCCAGGCTCACATATCTAAGGCTGGGCTTTGCTCATCCTAACTGCTGCTTCTGGTTGGTTGTAACGGGAGAGCTTGTCTCTCTGACTGAGCCCGAACCTGTCTGAGCTGACTGAGCCTCCTCTTGTCTGTGTCTGAGCCTGTCTCCTATCATGAGCATGAACCTGTCTCAGTGTCTCAACCTGAACTTGAGCCTTTCTCGCTCTGTGTCTCTGTCTGATCCTGAACCGGTCTTTCTGTTTAAGGCCCAGCCTGAGACTTGGGAGGAAGTGGACTGACATGTTTAGGCTCAGGCTCAGGCACCAGCTTGGTTTAGTGACAAGCACTTTTAAAGGTAAGCTCAGACTCAACCTGTCAGACATCTGAACTTTATTTCTCTATTAAATCAGCTGCTCTTGATCTGACAGATCTGGATTAACAAACTTTTCTGGTCTTAATAGGCACTCTTCTTTACATCTGTCAGTCATCCACTTCTATCTCTGTAAACAGGGAGAAAACCCTCAGACAGAGATCAGAACCAGCTGCAAAGAATCCCAAGTCAGATTTTTGTTTCCTTTGTGATTAAACACAGACACAAAACAAGCTTAACCACCTGCCGCCTCTCCCCTCAGTTATCTATTTCTTATCTGTCCAGGCTCCATTGCTGCCTCATTGATTTTTGTATGTTGCCATGACAACAGACAGTTCCAGTAACTTTGAATAGGGTCAGACATACCTGACTTGTAACTTCCTGTTCCACTGTTACTCATGTGACACTGTTGATGAAGCGTTTGATCTCTGTAGTTGTTTTTTAACCTCTTTTTTTGTCTGTAAAACATAGAACAGCTTTTATTTTGCTTACACGTTTCTCAGGACCAGAATAGGTATCTTCATTCTCTGCTTACAAAACATAAAAGCTTTGCTTAATTTTTTCAGCTTTAACATTAACTCCAGTCAAATACTACTTAACTTTTTGTTTTGCGGACAAATAAGCTCTCTCAAATGTCCTACGGCATCCCATCACAAACTACAAAATATGTCAGTAATAATAATAATGAATGTAATACGTATACTTGTTACGCTCATCTATTGATCTTTAAAAAAAAAAAAGAATAAACATCAAAGAGCAAGTGGAAAACATGGTGGGGAGCAACATTGAGGTTCCATCATTTCCCCTCTCATCTCATCAGTTTGTTTTTGGTTGGAAGCATCACAGAGCAGACAGGATGGTAAACACCAGCTTGCTGTCTGCACTTTACTGTCACTTTACAGGATTTCTGGGTTTTGAAGTTCAAACCGTATTTGTGAAATTGCTTAGTGATTCTTTAAAGGGAGCTGGGTGGTAATTTCTGGCCAGTTGTTCCTGTCCGGTGATTTTCTTAACAACTTAGTTCGCTGGGATCAGATTTAGGAGCTCAGAGCTTCTGATAGGCAACACAGCACACAGTCAGCACGTCAGCAGCAACCTGATCACAGGTTGTAAAAAATTCCAGTATTGGCTGTTGTAAATACACACTGTATTTGATAGGGCTACCTTCTCGTTGACTATAATTGTTTACATGTAGACAGCTGATATTTCTGTTTTAGTTTGGTTCACGGCTGATGGATCATTTGATTTAGACAATATGACTGAACTGTGGATTCCGTCTCTCTCTGCTTCTTGGTGGTCCAGCGATCAAAGTGGTTCCGAAGTGTATTTAGCCACGCTGACAGTATCAGGTCATCAGGTAAAAATTTGAATTTGTCCAATATTTTTGATACCTGCAAAACAGTGCTAGTGTTAGTGCTTAAGTGCTTTAATTTAGTGTTTGGTGAACATGGTAAACATTAAACCCGCTTAGCATTAATATATTAGCATTGTTATTGTGAGCTTGTTAGCATGGTTCTGTTAGCACTGAGCTCAAAGCACCGCTGTGCCAACGTACAGCTTCATGGAGCTGCTAGCAAGACTGTTATATTACTTATATTATCATGATGGCCGACACTACATAAATGAGATCCTAACTGTAAAACAACACTAGGTTCAATATATAAATATTTGTGTGACAAGGCTGCTCTAACTGAACTGAATTAGCATTACATTTTTTTTATTAGTTGTCTTATGTAGTCACAGCGTCAACTGCCTTATCATGTAAATTGGCCCCCATCACTTTTCCTCTCCATCCTCTCCGGCTTTCTAGAGACTTTTAAGACAAATTCAATGTTTGTATTGTGTGGCACTGGCTGAACTGTCCTTGTGATAAATAGAACAGCTGCTCTATGATTCCTGTACATGTGGCTGCGGCCCGGGGGGTGATGGGAGGTTTTTGAGCCTTTGTGGCCTGGGATCAGTGTCAGCATGTGTTGTGCTGTTCACTCACTTGACGAACAGTAACACTAAGTTAGTCCTGCCGGCTTTAAATCCGAGGTAGCTGCAGCTCTGCTTAATTAACTCCACAGCGACACTCTGCAGGGTTACATCCTCGGAGGACGGGTGCACGCAGAGCACGGGAATTATGGTGAGAAGATTGGGTCTTCACTGGGGATGGAAATTCAGATTGATTGTTTGATTCTCACTTGGCAGTATAAAACACAATCAAAGGGGCACTTCAAGGATTCATGGGGAGGAAATTCAAAGACATTCCTGAGTGGTCTTTCCTTTTTTCATGGACTCTCCATCTTCCCTCTGTCCTTCTTTTGCTCTCTGGGTATGAATTATTTAACCATTCTCCTCAGAGTAACCCCCCCCCCTTCCATCTCCATCTCTCTCTCTATCGCTGCTGGCCCAGGCGTCCTGTGCTGCAGCCAAGGACAGATGCAGAGCTGTGATGGGTGGCTCGCTCTGCAATACCATGAAAAGAAAGAACCAGTAAGAATGCAAGTTTTTACTGTGAACATCAAGCTAAAGGGGAGCAGAAAGTCCTAGATATATAACTATAGATATAAACAGGTACAGAGTTGCCATGGATTCAGCGAGTTGGCTCTGGGCTACAACTGGAGCCCCCCCTTTTTTGCCTATATTTACTTTCATTTACTTTGAAATCACTGTAGTTGAGTAAAAAGTAGAATGAAAAGTAGTGGAAAGTAAAAGTAAAATAGTTAGTCATTAAGTAAAATAAAGTCATTATACTTAAGTATATAACGCGTAAATATACTTAGTTACTTCCCACCACTCTATTTAAACACAGACAGTAAGTGTAGTGCACAAACTACCACCACAAACTGAAAACCACCTTCTCAGACTGCTTCTTCACACCACGTGCTAGAGCTTACATTTAATTTCGTAAGGAAAAAATCTTTACTGCTGCGGGTCATGTCATTGTACCTCAGTTTACTGTTATTAGCTGACAGGGGTGGCCCCTGGTGTGGTCCTCTGCTGCTGGTGCCCATCTGCTTCAAAGTTTCACATGTTGTGCGTTCAGAGATGGTATTCTGCATACCTTGGTTGTAACGAGTGATTATTTGAGTTACTGTTGCCTTTCTGTCATCTCAACCCACCCTGCCCATTCGCCTCTGACCTCTGACATCAACAAGGCATCTTCGTCCACACAACTGTCTCTCACTGGATATTTTCTGTTTTCTGGATTATTCTCTGTAAACCCTAGTGATGGCTGTGATGAAAATCCCAGTAGA